TCTCAAAAAAAAAAAAAAAAAAAGAATTCAGCCTTCAACAAAAATCAGTGAGTGGACAGATATTCTGGATCTCTAACACGACATTACAAACACAATTGCGTACTTGCTACCTTACTGCACACCCCACTTCCTTGATTGAGCCTTTAAAAAAAATTCCAAGGTGATCTATTTCATTAAGTAGGTGACAATCTTAACATTTTACTGTGTTTTATGTTCACTCTGCTAAACAAAAGCCTTGAAATGGTATAAAACACTGCAACAATACATTCACTTCCTAATAAAACAACCTCTTTAATACCATGAAAATAATATGGCATAATTTTGCATTAAACTACTTAGCATGAACTTCTGCAACATAAAAGGACTAAACACAAGCATGAGAAGATATTTACAAACTATCTTTTAACTCCTGTAGGTCTCTCCTCCTTCTCCTGGAGAGGCATACCCCAATTCAGTTCACCTGCAGAGAACACAGCTACAGAGGAATGCCCCATTCCATAAACGTAATGTCACCAACAGCCTCAAGGACAGACATTTTGCATGAAACATGATAAGGTAACAAGATGCATCATTTTCCACTGACAAGAGTTTTTGGGGGTCTTCCCTACAATTAGGATATATTCTTTGCCCCTGAAGACTCATACTTCAAAAACAAAAGCATTAGAACAGGAATTAAGATTTTATACTGGGCAATTAAATAACTATGCAAAGGTGTCTTCCACAAACCTATTAAAACCTTGTGTTTTGCAAATAACTTACAGGCACATGTAAAATACAGTAAGAACACTGGGTCAGAGCTTCATCCGGTGAACTCATGTGACAATCCTTCACCGGAAGGAGAAAACTTCTTTCACACAGTCAAGGGATGAGGACCTGATCCAAAATGCATTTTGTTGAATTATTCATTCCAACAGATTGGAGTTGGGATGCAGCGTGCTGGCTACAGCATCATCAGGAACATTGCACAATTACTTTATGTCATTTGGGAATGATGGAAGGGAATGCTGGGAATGTTTAAAGGCCTTAGCAGGCCCTGAATAATTTTATAGAATAGTTAAATAAATATTGCTTATATATAAAAACTCATCTCATCCCAAGATGGGAGAGGGGGAAGGGCATTTGGAAATCTCTTAATGTAAAACAAAATAAAAGTACTGGTTAAGGGCATGATCCTATTATTAATCCACAAGTAAGAATTCAGCCTTCAGG